TAAATATAAATATATATATATATATATATATATGTGTGTGTGTGTGTATAAGCGGACTCGGGGGCAAGTGGGCTCTTGTGCAATCACTAAATTTTCCGACGTAATGTAATTTTTATTTAACAGTGTTTAAGGATGTTATCATTTAGTTTTGTTGTATGCTACGGTGTAGCCATCTATAAGAATAATTGTGTATGTGCGTATGCGTTTTGATTTTGTTGGGACCGGATATGTTGTAGTCTTGCTTCGACTGGACGTGATTTTTTCTCTATAAATGTTGGGACCCTTTTTCTCGTATCAATGACTCGTTGGAAAAGTAAATTTGGGGTTTTATACATTCTCACATGGTATTAGAGTAATATCTACAAGAGATACGACACTCTAGGTTACGTATTCGTTTGGCTTACTCACCCGTCTATCCCCTTCTCAACGCGCTGCGACAATCTGTGCCCGTGTAGCTTCCGCTGAAGGGACTATATGAGTTTCACATGAGCTAGACATGGATTATTTCTTTTCTGTATATGTTGAAACTTCTCTTTCCTTCTCTTATCATATCAGGCTCTTTTGGAAAGTAAATATATGTCAGTCCCAAACATTCTGACAATATTGAATTGAATAAATTCCTGTAGGGACTTTGTTAACCGCGAGCGCACATATTATTACGGCTGTCATAGGATCTGGAGTGTTGTCTTTGGCATGGGCGATTGCGCAACTCGGGTGGGTTGCCGGACCCGCCGTCCTCATGGCGTTCTCATTCATAACTTACTTCACCTCTACCCTCCTTGCCGACTCCTACCGAACACCCGATCCCGTCTCCGGCAAGCGTAACTACACTTACATGGATGTTGTTCGAGCTAATCTAGGTACCAACTACCTCTTAATTACCAGTACAATAAAATCACATTTATGTACAACTCACGTTGTTTTAGAAAACTGTGACATTTTTAACGCCTTATAAACTTAATTTTATCAATTACATACATATATACACACATACATACATATATATACACACATATATATACATATATATAATACCATTTTTGTTTTGATTTGGCTTCAGGAGGGAAGAAGGTACAATTATGTGGAATAGCTCAATATGTAAATCTCGTGGGCGTGACCATCGGATACACGATCACTGCTTCCATCAGTATGGTGTAAGTCGTAATCTATAAATAAATAATAAATAATAAATAATAATTAGATGAGAATTATTGTAGTCAACCGAGACCGACCAAATATAGATTTTTTTTCAATTCTAGATAATGATGGGATTTCACTAATTTTATATATTATTATTTAATATTATTTATGGTATTAAATTTTGTTTGTGTTTTAATTGTAGAGCTGTGAAAAAATCGAACTGTTTTCATGAAAAAGGACACGATGCGCAATGTAAACCATCAAATTATCCGTATATGATCCTATTTGCTCTAATTCAAGTGGTCTTAAGTCAGATTCAGAATTTTCATAAGTTGTCGTGGCTGTCGATATTAGCGGCTGTAATGTCTTTTGCTTACTCTTCGATTGGACTCGGATTATCTATCGCTAAAGTTGCAGGTATCGTAATTCGTCAATTTTGAACGTATTTAGTTATATCTTTTTAGTTTATATATATATATATATATATATAT